GATATATGTGGGTTAGGAAGGTGAATCGAATGGCTGATATATGTGGGTTAGGGAGGTGAATCGAAAGGTTCACTAATGCAATAAAGGGGTTTGATATTTTTTTTTAGAGTTTGAGGTTTTTTTTTTAGTTGGAGAATTTGAGATTTTTTAGAGTTTGAGAGTTTGAGAGTATTTTTCTCATACAACCAAAATCTGGGGGTCCTTGTCTTTGTTGATGGTTTCTCTATTTATAGAGAAAAGATGTGGGAGTTTGAACAAAAGCATGGCTTGGTTAAAAACGTGAAATTTGAGTTATGTCAGATTTTCCATGATCCCAAGGTGAAGTACTAAAGTGGTTGGTTAAAAGGGGATGACTTCCATGACTTTATGGTGAAGTAAAATCAGTATTTTAACAAAGTATGGGTTTAAGATAACTTTTGTACTAGCAAGCTCATTTCATGAAAAAAAATCTTTTGGACAAAAACTTAATTATATGGATAATAGCTTAATTCATGGTGTAGACAATTAATTATGGAGTGAAGCACAAGCATTGAGTTCTGTAGCATGATTTGTGGAATTGATCAGTGACCTTTCAAAAATTTTACTTTCTACTTGTGTGTCGAAGGTTTTCTTGAAATGGATCAAACAAGTAGCTTCAAAGGAGGTTTCAAATCGAAACGAATGATGTACCTAAACTTGCATTTGAATGAGGCTTTAAGTTCAAAATGAAGGACATACCCAAGTTGCATTCGAAAGAGGCTCTAAGTTCAAAATGAAGGACATTACCCAAGTTGCATTCGAAGGAGGCCTTTGCTCAAAACGAAAGATGTAATCCAAGTGGCATGAGGCCCTTGCTCAACTGAAGTTTGCATGTAGGCACGCAGAAGATGAGTGCCCAAACGAAGATTTGCATGTAGGCATTTGTGTCTAAACAAAGACTTTGCCTTGCAGGGAGTACATGTGGTCAGCAGGTCATGGCCTTCGATTACAAGCATGCAGGCAGCATACTTGTCCAATCGAAGCAGGCTTGCAGGCAATTAATCTTGTCCAAATCGAAGCAGGCTTACAGGCAATTAATCTTGTCCAAATCGAAGCAGGCTTACAGGCAGCTATTTTTGAGTAATCGAAAGAGGTGCAAAGTCCAATCGAAGGGTGCAAAGTCCAATCAAAGGAGCTGAATCGAAGGAGGTGCAAAGTCCAATCGAAGGGGCTGAATCGAAGAAGGCCTATTTTTCCCCAAATTTGTCAAATGTTATTTTTATGTGTTTTCTCCCTTTTTGACAGTTTCCTTTTAATTTTGGTACTGAAAAAATCCCAATGCACTTGTGCAAGCTTAAATCCTAAGAATCTTTGTGAGAAAAACCCTTGAGAATTGAGAGGGCAAATTTTGGGATACAACAGATGCATAATCTTCAACTTTGTGTCAATGCTCCCTAACAACTCCCCCTAACAAATGGTATCATGAGCCTTTGATTCGAAAAAGGGATCAGAAGAGACTTGTATCAAAATGCACTCGGGAAGTGGTGTCCCGTTACAAGATGTCAACGACGGTATAAGTGGAGGAGCATTGTGGATTCACACTTGAGGAGGAGTGTTGAAATAATATAACAAGTGTGAGTAAGTGGGGAAATAGTCTCACATTGGATATGAATGTGGAGACTTGATGATATATAAGTGAGAGAACTCACTCACTTACCACCTTAAAGTTTTAAGTGGATAAGTAGTGTGTCTCCCACAAAGGTGTATAATCTTCAATTTTGTATCAATGCTCCCTAGTAACTCACCCAACATTATAAACAAAAATTATAATACTCCCTTCATTTTAAAATAACTTTTGTTTAAGATTTTTGCACACAGATTAAAAAATACAATAATGTTGTCATAAAAAATTATACTTTTATAAAATTAACCTTATTAATGTATTATAAATAGCGTCTAAAATGAAATATAAAGGACACAATTGAAAAAATAATATCGTTACTATATTTAAAAGTGAAAATGACTTTCATTTTAAATCAAATTTTATTTATTAAAACGACAGTCATTTTAAAACGAATGGAATAATAATTAATATCTCAAATTTATTAGTCAATACGTCTTTCAATCAAACAAAGAAAATCTCAAATCTCAATCATTATTATAAACAAAATTTAATCACTTTTAAATTATTTAATAATAATATTCCGATTATATCATTTATTTAATTTAAAAATAATCGATAAAGATAGTTGAATGGACTATTCCCTTAAATATCAACAAGAATACAGATAGTTCTATAACAAGTTTATTGCAATCAATTTGTAACGAGAAAAACTTCAAACACAACATATATACTCAATTTAATAATCTTGTTCTAACTCCATCTGAGGAGAATCACATGAGTAATCCCTTTCTATCTCCTTCATAAACACAAACACAAAAATATCAAACTCTCGTTATCAAATTTGTCTTAAGTTTTTGAAAGCTATGTGTGTTTATGCTTCAATTGTGTGGAGACAACTAGAAACTCTGTTTAATGATAGTTTAATCATACAAAATCTATTATGAGGTCATATATAGCCACAATTTAACTATAAAAAATTTAAAATCATGTATTATAGTTAGGCATGGCAACAAAATGGATCGGAAACGATTTTTATCTTTTCCAAATTAAAATTTGAATTCTTAAATAATCTCCGTTCTCCGCCTCAAACCCAAACGAGAATGAAGAATTAAAAGCCGGACCCGTCCCAAATGGGTTTGGGTTGGATTCGGATATCCCTTTCCGCCACCATCCATTTGTACCGAGTACTTCGTGGGCTGAAACAGAATCATAATTTCAACTTCCACCCGAAGTGTGGTAAATTGCGCATAATCAATATTTGTTTTGCAGATGACATACTGTTATTTGCAAGGGGTGATGTGGAGTCCGTAAAGATTGTGATGCAAGCTGTCAAAGAGTTCTCAAATGCTACTGGACTGTATGTCTGTGAACAGAAGAGTAAAGTATTCTTTGGAGGGGTGGAGGAGATGACTAAACAGGAAATCCAACTTACTACCGGTTTTGAGAGAGGCACACTTCCTTTCAAATACTTAGGTGTGCCCCTGGACAGTAAGAAGTTAACCGTTCTTAATTGTTTGCCGCTTATTGATAGAATGCTATGTCGTATTAAGCATTGGAGTTCTAATCTGTTATCATATGCTGGTAGATTCCTCCTCGTCAAAAGCGTTTTGTTTGCTATCGCTAACTATTGGATGCAGATTTTCCCTCTTCCTAAGAAAATCATTCAGCACATTGAGGGAATTTGCAGAAAATTCCTTTGGTCAGGTAGAGTAGATAATAGCAGAAAAGCTCCTGTTTCTTGGGACCAAATTTGTAGACCTAAGGTGGAGGGAGGACTTAACATGATTGCGCTTTATGAATGGAACAAAGCCTCGATAGGTAAATTGCTTTGGGACTTGAATGCTAAAAAAGATAGAATGTGGATTTCATGAATTCACCATTTTTATATGAAAGGTACGGATTGTATTGATTATATTCCTCCTTTCCATGCCTCTTGGATTGTGAAAGCGATATTTAAACACAAGGAGGAATTGATGAGCTCGACAGTTTGGGATGAATTCCAGAATAGGGACGGGTACCGTACAAGAGATATGTACAAGATGCTTAGGGGAGTGAAACCCAAGGTGAGGTGGAAAAAAGTCATCCTGGGTAATTGTGCTCGTCCTAGGGCCATTTTCACTACTTGGATGACACTCCTAGGTAAATTGACTACTAAGGACAGATTGCGCAGGTTTGGTATCCAAAATGATGGTCTGTGTGTGTTTTGTGGAACGAATGAGGATATTCAACATGTCCTTTTTAAATGTGATTTTGCGAGAAACATTTGGAACCAAGTTTTAGAGAGTGATGAGGAGTTCCGTTGGTCGACCAATGGGGGCATGGGATTGGAGTGGATCATTAGCAATACTAAAGGTAAAAGTTTGAAGTGTAGGAAAGCTAAACTGATTGTTGCAGAAACCATCTATAGTATTTGGACTACCCGGAATATGATTATATTTCAGAATCAGACTACAGATTTTTTCCAATTGGGGGAGTTAAAGCTTAGGATTGAAATGTGTTTGGGGAAATTTAATATTAGTCCATGATTGTGATTAAGTGCAGGTGTCTAGTCTGTTAGTTTGTTGGATGTTGTTGTCTTGGGCCTGGATCTTTGGATCGACTTTGTATTAACTGTTTTTGGATTAATATATTTCCGTTTCTCCAAAAAAAAAATATTTTAAATTATAAATACAAATTAAATTATCAAATCATTAGTCACATATTTAATATTCTAAATTATTAAAAATAAATAATAATATACATATAAAATAAACGGGACGGATTCGAGTGGATACTAATGTCTCTATTACCCTATCATAACCATATTTTATAATCGAGAAAAACCTATAAACTTGAATCCAAACCCAATCAAATCGAATTTTCCCCGTCAACTTCAAAGTAGATTCAGGTGGATACCCGCAGGTATGAGTTTTGTTATCATGCCTACTCTCAAAAACTCTCAAAAACGAGACGACCTTGCGGTCTTTACCTTTCTTCAGCACGAATTACCTGACTTTGTCTCGTCTTCCTATCCTACGAGGCTATGAAACTTCTAGGAAGCTATGAAACATAAGTTGCGTTTAGTTGTGTCAAAATTTATCAAGGTGTCCAATTCGCAACACCAACCTTAAACTACATAATTTGATCATAAAACAAAGAAGAATTTGAAAAGAAACTAAAAAGGCACATAATTAAGTGATTAACCAACTTGGCCAAGGGTCTTCTAAATCTCCTTTCTCAACTACTTCTACATACAATACTTGACTACAAAGTTTCATGGCAACAAATATAAGAAATGCAGGGAACAAAGTACATTTCCACTTTTACCTATACTTAAGAACAGAGAGTACTTAACTGTATAGTTTGGTGGCTACATCTATAGGAAATGTAAGAGATGAAAAGGACATACACTTACAACAAGAAACTTACAACCAGAAACTTACAACCAGAAACTCAGAATATGTCCTAGAATAACTAACATTAGCAATTTCTGCGCAGTCACTTTGTATGAAGAAGCAGCATCGTTGCATAAATTAAACCCATACCATGTATCTCTGGGAATGAAAGTGTTGTAATAGAAAGTAACAGGACCGCCACTATAACCATTGATCTTCACAGTGTCGGGTTTCCAACCATCTGAGCCAGATCTATAGAGGTACACATAGCATATCTGATACGCACATGGACCATTTATCTGAAATGTATCGGAAGAACAGCTCTCAAATGTACCAGAAGATGGATCATCTAGTCTTGGTGCATTTATCTGATAGTATGTGAAAGAGAAACAAATGAACTTTCAATGATTTCAAAATAAATTTCCCTTAGTCAAGCAAGATTGATAAACCAAATGAAGATTTTGTTTGCCTCATATTCTATTTTGATTCTATTCGACGCAATTTACATACATACATTCAAAATCCATCCACCTGTTTAGCGAACTTTCTGTACTGTTCATTCATCCTAGACCCTTTATAAACAACTTTCAATCCTTAATTATAAACTATTGGAACTGAAAAAAACAATAAAAATAGAAAGAGAAATTCAACAAAACCTGGTTCCCATAAGCATCACCAAAAGAAATACTGATTTGATCCCTCGTATACCTAGGAGACGAACAACTAGTAGATATAACCACCGAGTAAGAACAACTTGCCTTGTTCTTCATCTATCATAAAAACAAACAAAATAATCTTCCTCTAAATACTACACATAAAAAAATAAAAATAAAAATAAAAAGAGAAAATGAAATAACAAATTAGGGTTTTTATTTACCTTAATATAACTGAAATTGAAGGATTCATGAGCATAAGGCAAGAGTATACCATACTGAGACTCTGACACTGAGACTGAGAGGGTCAATCGAAAGGCCACAAGAAGAAGAAGAAGAAGAAACTCTTTCATCAAAAAGAGTGGAATTTGTGATGTGGATTTGAATGGGTTTCGATGAGTTCGCGTGATATAGAAGAAGAAGAAGAAGAAGAAGAAAAGACAATGAAGGAAGATGGCGAATTTGTCTTTACCCTGTATTGACAATTTTCTTAGTATTTACTCTCATGTCCATTAGATATAATCAACCATCCTGATGTATTTTTCTTTTCAATTGTAGCTAAAGTGCACACCTACTATTATCTATTCCTTTCTCTCCTTTTGCAATTTTATTTTTGTTTGTAGCCTTAATAATTTAAGTCGTTCATTTTGTTTATGACATATATTATTTACTTTATTTGATTTCTGTAATTTAATGAAAAATAAATTTGAATTTAACTAATATCATTGATAATGTAAAGAAATTTGAATTTACTTAATCGTAATCGTTATAATTTTAATAACATTGAACTTTTATTCTAATTACTTATAAAGTAGTATGTTTGGATGGTTGTAATGCAGTGACTCATTATGTATAAAAATTTATATTAATAATACATAATAATTAATTTTAATAAATATGTTTTATTTTATTTGTTGTATTGTTAATGCTTAAGACTAATTTTTATAAGTTTTGTTATTTTAGAACATGTCAATATATTTTGGAACATGTCATTCTGTCAATATTTTAGAACATGTCTATGTAAAATGTCTATGCATTTTGAAACATATGTATCTAATCTGTCTAGGTCTTTCAACAATAAAGTAATGTCATTTTTTGATAATGTTCATTTAATCTGATATGTTCTAGTTTATATTATGAGTCCATATTAAACTGATAATGTTCATTTAATATGATATGTTCAAGTAATCTGAAATGTTAATTTACTAGTAATGTCCAAAATTATGTTATTACAAACAATGATATGCCAAATAAAAGAAGTTATATTAAATTGATAAATTGTGTTACAATTACACATTGCACATTACACCTGATTGATACTTCTAAAACAACGAACCTTCTACTTTACCGGAGGGCAGTCTTCTTTGGTTGGTAGGCGGTGTACCACAATATCGGTGTCCAAACCAGGCATATCTTTATAAGACCAAGCGAAGATCTCAGCATAGTCGCATAACATCTGTATCAATCGCTGCTTGACACTAGGCTCCAGATTCGCACCTATCTTAACCTCTTTCATGTCTTCCTATGTACCCAAATTCATTGATTCAACTGACTCTTCATGAGGTTGTATGGCCCTTTCTTCATGCCGTGACAGTCTAGCAAGTTCTCCAGGAACTTCACAATCATCCTCACCTTCGTCCTCAGCTTGGTTGATCGGATTTTCGAAGTCATAACCGGCAGTATCAGAGTTGTTATCAATGGGATCCAGAGTGGATATGGATCTGCATTATGATACGTGAGTGTGTGTAAGAGAATAGCTGTTTTAATAGAGTGAGAAACAGAAAAGAAAAACAAATAGCGCAAAATTTGTAATCCAAGAAACGTCCAATGCTTTATTAATGATATATGAAAATGACAAATAATAGTCCCTCACAAGCAAGGCCAAGGTGCATCGGGCAAGGCACCGGTCCGTAAAGTTTCAAATTGTTTATTACAACTCTTAAAACAAAAGTCAATTACTGTGGAATAAAAGAAACATGTATGAAGTCCTTCGTCGTCCAATTGTTCAATCCATCATTGGTTGTAGGGTAGATCCAATTGTCGATGTCTGAATCTTCTTCATCATCTTCAATTGCATTAACTCCCTGATTGTTGATATGCAGAGTAGGTCTTCCAATCAGTGCGCGCCTAACATCCCTTTGAGCTTCTGTAGTAAAGCCCAAACCAAATTTGTCAGTTTTGTGAGTGAAATCAGGGAGCCGACCCAAATTGGTACACCCACCTTCTTCGATTACAACCCTGGCATCCTTGAGAGAAGCCATCTTCATCGGAGGTTTGTCGGTAGCAACTTCAGTTGACGCCATAGTCTGAGGGACCTCTTCAAAGTTCTAACAAGGAGTTTCGATGAACTCCCCATCCATCTCCATATAGCGAAAGGAATTGAGATGACTCACCATGTACTCCTCTTCACCCCGTACCGTGACAATCTTCCCCTTTATCGGATATTTCAGCATTTGATAGAGCGTTGAAGTCACTGCCCCAGCCCTATGAATCCAAGGACGACCCAACAAGCAGGAATACGATGGTCTGATGTCCATCACATAGAAAGCGGATCCAAAAGTTTGAGAACTAACTTTAACAGGGATGTCCACCTCCCCATGCACCATCCTTTTTGACCCGTCGAAAGCCCTGACCACAATATTACTCGGTTTCAGAATCAAATCTTCACAATCCAGATGGTCTAATGCTTTATTTGGTAGAACATTCAATGAGGACCCGGTATCCACCAGTACATGGGCCATAGTAGTGCCCCTGCACTCGATCGAGACATGCAGAGCGTCATTGTGATTTCTTCCTTTAGTAGTCAGATCTGCATCTGAGAAACCCAGCCCATTATTGGCAGTCAGGCTAGCTACGCAATCTTTGAATTGGTCGGCTGAAGTTTCTTGTGGCACATGCGCAGTTTTGAGGAATGCTATTAGAGCCTTTGCACGGGCTTCAGAATACAACAACAAGGACAACATGGAGATTTTTGACGGGGTCTGCCCCAACTGCTCGACTACGTTGGTCGCTCTTCTTGATAATCTTCAAAATTTCTTCTATCTCTTGCTTAGAGGTTTCTACAATGATCTTCTTAGGTGCCTCCGTCCGAGCAGGCTCACCTGTGATTTCTTTGCCCCGAGTCCCAGATGGATCAGCGACAGGAGTGATAACTGGAGTAAGAACTGGAACATCAGTTGATGTACCAGTAGATGGAATGACAACAAGTTTGTGGACAGCCGGAGGGGAAATCTCGGGAGAAAAGAGTCTTCCACTTCTGGTGACCTTGCTAGCCCCGACGATATTACTGACATCAGTATCAGCTTCTTCACTCTTTAAGTCTTGTTTAATACCATGGTAATACACATCAGCACCATAGTGCCATGGGACAGCCTTATCTGAAGTGTATGGGATAAGACCGGGAATAATAATTATCAGCGGAGCAATTCTTGGGACAGATGTAATCCTAACAGGCTTTCTCGAGGAAACCTTAGAAGGATTGCCGGAAATGGTTATGATGGCAACATCTTGAATTAGAACCAACGAAATCAAAGTCTTTTCGAACAAGATCTCTTTGTTATCCATCAGACGCTGAATACCTGATTTCAATAAGTGGCAACCAGCAGGCAGAATTGAACACATGTGGCAACCTTCACCACAGCCCGGAAATAAACCGGCCAACAACAAATTCTTCTTAACTGTCATAAGAGGAGTAGAAATTTATTCCACAGAGGTCACAAATAAATCATCGTCTACAACATTTACTCCATGACCATGTTTGGGCATGGGAGCAGTTATGACGTTGGGCTTCTCCGGAGCGTCAAACTCAATCTCTTTGGCTTCGATCAAGTCTTGCACTTTGTTTTTCAAGGCCCAACAGTTGTTTGTATCATGACTTGGACTTTCAGAGTGATAGGCGCAGCGAGCATTCGGGTTATAGTGAGGAGAAGTGATGTTGGGGTTCTTCGGGGCCTCCCTCAGAGTTACCAGATTGGTCTTCAATAATTATGGTAGAATTTGAGACAAGGTCATATTGAGTCGAGCGTACTGCCTCTGTGGCCTTTCCACCCTCTGTTGATTGTTGCATTGTGGAGCAACTGTGGGTCTTGATATCACTACCGCATTTACTGCTTGATGGTGTTCAGGTCTGCTTTGGCCCCTTGGGTCGTAGACTGCACTAGCTTCCTTCTTACCGGTGAAAGGCTTATTCACTGCACTTGATGAAGTATCCTTCTGTATTTTACAACTTCGGATACCAGCTTCTACTCTCTCTCCAGTCAAAATCAACTCAGTAAACCCAGATGACGAACTGCCGACCAGATGATTGAAAAATGGACCAGATAGCGTCCCCAAGAACATATCAACTAACTCTCGATCAGATAAAGGGGGTTGAACCCTGCCAGCCAAATCTCTCCACTTTTGAGCATAGTCGTTAAAACCTTCGCTTGCACCCATTGACATACCCTGAAGCTGAGTAAGAGTGGGAGCAAGGTCGGCGTTATACTGATACTGCCTGTAAAAAGCAGCAACAAGGTCTTCCCAGTTTCGTACATTAGCTCCTTCCAATTGATAAAACCATTCAAGCTGAGTCCCTGACAAACTATCTTGAAAGAAATGCACCCACAAATTTCTATCAGCAGTGTGGGGTTGGATTTTCCTGACATACGAGCGGAGATGGAGTTTTGGATAGGACACTCCATCATACTTAGCAAAAACTGGAGCTTTGAACTTATAAGGCATCACCACTCCCGATACCAGTCCCAATTCTCCGAAATCTAAACCATGGATCTTTTGAATCTCCATAGCACTCAGCCTGTCTTCTAGCTGCTTGTACCTATCCTTGGCAGGAGGATATTGCTCATCATCAAAATCAGTATCATTATCAGAAACTGCAGGACTTGAGCCCTTTTCTTCTTCTTGGTTTTCCCTGTCCTTGGACGAGGAGATCAGATCAGCTTGCTGTTGCAACCTATTCCCAAACCTTTTGCCCATACTCAGAAGAACGACCTTCTTCTTCTTCTTCTTCTTCTCCTTCAGAATGAGAGTCTTCAAATCCTCTTGCCCTTTAGCCAAAATCAAGAACATTTCTTGGAATTGGGCGTTCTGTTCCTGAAGATCTTTGATGGCTTGATCAGAAGACATTTCTGCTGAAATAAACAGCGAAGGAGATGAGAAACTTGTAATAGTACCTGTAATGATGTGCATGATAATGGGATGCGTATGTAATGATTTCAAAGACTTTAGGAGATTTAAATTTTCAAACCAAAAATAAACAAACTTTATTAGATTAACTTGTAAAAGGTTCAACAATGCCTTTGAGGCGTTACAAAGAAGTAAATTAAAAACAAATCTAAAACTAAAAAAGAAAAAATCA